TCGAGTACTCGAGTAATAAATATTTAGAAGTTGAATAGTTGAATAGTTGAATAGTCGAGTACTCGAGTAATAAATATTTAGAAGTTGAATAGTTGAATAGTCGAGTACTCGAATAATAAAAATCTAGAAGTTTAATAGTTGAATAGTCGAGTACTCGAATTATAAATATTTAGAAGTTTAAAACTCGAGTAAAAGTTTAATAGTTGGTACGAATTAACGATTTCTACACTACTGACAAAACCAGCAAAATAATCAAGGTCTAAATGCGCATCAACAAGCTGGACAACAACTAAACAACCAGCAACAACAAAATCGCCAAGGTAATGACGCTCAGCAAAATTTGAATGCCCAACGACAACAACAAGGTCAACAAAATAATTGTGCTCAACAATTTAAACAAGCTGGTCAAATTGGAAATGCACAACAACAACAACAACAAAATCAACAGCAACATCCTCGACTCATTCACTAAATTGATAATTTTATAGCCTGATAAAAGACAGTCATTTTGTATATTTTTCTGTAATATTGATGTTTTTTTTTTTGTATTTTATTTTTCATAGTTCTTAGAAATTTGTGTGTATCAGTTTGAAATAAAATCATCGAGAATGAAAACAATGTAAAATAATGTAATTATATCGAAAGTTATGGAGTTAAATATGATCATGAGAAGTATCTGAAGAAAAATATTATTAGAAGTGTTTAAAGTTAATTACAGAGGTTTGTATCCAATAGTCTCATATTTTTATAAAATTCTTTTTGTTATATCAGTTTAGATATTAGTATTTATTAAAATACATATGTTAAAAACATTCTCTACAATATAGACCGAAACTTGGAGATAAATTGAAAAGGAATGAGCAGAACAAGACAAAAAAAATTATAATAACAAAAAGAACCGACGTGAGAATATGTTAAGATAGAGCGGATGCGCACAAAAAGAAAACTGATATATGTATATATACGCATGCTATACTATTTCAATTTTTTATATTATTACGACATGTCTATACCAAATAGTACCACCGATCAACCGAATATGGAGATTGAAGATCGTAAGTATTGACACGAAACGAATTTTTCTAACAGTTTTTTTTATCCATAGAGGGTGATTTCGAAGAGCATTTGAACGAAAGTCGTACGCAAGTTCAGGTCGATGGTCGCTGGAAAATGCCAAGAATGCGACCCTGGAATCGGTTTCAGGTGGAACTGAACGGATCCGTTCAAGGGAGATACTACTTCCATGAAGTCTTTGGAATACCATGGAACCGGCCGTTTCCGTGTCGGATAATTCGACCTGGGAGAAGAACGTGCGCAACATATCTCTGACGAAAGTTGGTTTGTAAGTATGACTCATTCAATTAACGAAGTGTGATTCATTTCAAAAATGATTGCTTTGTTTCAGAATCCTTTTGGAGGTGATCCATTATTTGAAACAGTAATGAATGGTGGTGGTAGTGCTGCTGCTTGTGATACATATGCAAGTAGTGGTGATGCAGGTGGCATAGCAGCAAGTGGTGGTGACGCAGGTGATATAGCAGCAAGTGGCGGTGGCAGTATTGTTGCAGCAGATGCAGAAGCTAATGGTGCAGTAGTGCACATCATTCATTTTATTTAAGGGCATAGTTTTTTTTATCGAAATAAAAGAAAAATAACGAAATAAATAAGTGCAGTTAACGATATGTTTATGAATATTTTATATTTTAAAGAAAATAAATTAACAATATAATTAGAATTTTCGACCTTGTAAGCTGGTAACGTTGGTGAAGTCGATCATCATCAGTAAATAATGTTGTAATCATAGTAATCATCATAATCATAATAACATAATAATGATAAGACAGAATTAATTATCAACATAAACATAATTCAAGTTTAATAAGTACTGCAAGTGAATAAGTCAATTAAAATAGTAGATAACTTGATAGTAATAACATAGTAGATGGTTAATGATGTTATTATGATTATGATGATATAGTATGATTACAACATTATTTACTGATGATGAGCAACGTTACTAGCTTACAAGGTCGAAAATTCTAATTGTATTATTAATTTATTTTCTTTAACATATCGTTAACTGCACTTATTTATTTCTTTATTTACTTACTATCAAGTTATCTATTATAAAAAAGAAAAATATAATAACACATGAAATTTATCAAATTATGAATTGTACATAAAAAGTATATTATTAATAATTAATACATATACAGACAATCATATATAAAAACGTGTGATATATTAATTAGTATTAATTACCGGAATAAATACTATTATTCATGAATAAATACTTTGAAACATCGAGTTTAAATTAATTATGTAACAGTATAGAAACGACGAATATCAAATGTTAAACAAATAACTATCCATGCGTGAACACCCGCAGATATATAATAAGGTATATACCAAGAGTACAAGCGTACCATTAATAGAAAGAATTTCAAAATTAAAAAAATGATAACATATATAATCCATACTAATGTATGAGTGAATCGTATTCGAACATAATCCAATGGGATTTTTGAACCTATAGGACTGCATAATAGTAAACAAACTCTGATAAATATAATGATTACGGTATCAGTAGTTGAAGCTAAGAAAATTGGTAGACTAAAATTAAATAATCCAGTAAACAAAATAATAAAGGTAAATGATCGATACATAGAAATTGAAACTTGATCTTGTATTAATATTGCCAAAACAATAAAAAATTCTAAAATAGTTGCAAAACCACAACACAGAAGGAAATATATAATTAGTGCAGCTTGAGAACCACTGATGAGGAAGATCAGTTAGCCGATCGAACGTGTTTCCATTATTTTTTTGTAGAGGTAAAGCAGCTGGAGTATTGATAGGTGTCATGCGATCTATGAAATCATCTAATCTTGCTCGAAAACATTCACTCGTATGCTGTGAAAATGATTCTGAATCTACAAGATGTTTACATATACGACATTCAATTAAAGCTGGGATGCAAGATGATTGATGTTGGTCACTAGCATCTGTCAATATATAATTTCCACATATGTGACATTGTTTTGTTGGATATTGGCATTCATTTGTTTCATGTTGTTCTAATGAATTATATGATAAAATTTCTGTACAACCAAATGAACTATTTCGACAACGAATAGATAAACGACCCAAAAGAGAATGAATATATGGTGGAACACGTTTTTCTACATATGGAGTACAGCAAAAAGGACATGAAGGTGAATTAATTCTCTTCCATTTTTGAATACATTTATCACAGAATAAATGATGACAAGATCCGCATGATGTTGGTTTCCACAGAAGACTTTGACAAATCGTACAAAAAAATTCATTAGTCACCTGATATTCATCATTTACAATACGTTCTGAATTAATACCATCGTCATCAAAATAAAATTCATGTGTTTCTGCCATTGTTTTTTGTTACAATGTATATAGCAATAACAAGTAACTTTCGCTTTGAGTTACGCAATATTAAAATGTTCGTATATAAAAGAACTGAAATTATCAGTAGTGTTTGACCAATGATTCATTTCTGACGAAAAGATAATATGTTGTTGGAGAAGGTATATTCCTTTTTGGAATATTCCTAGTGAATACAAGAGCACGAAAGAAATGTATATGTGAAATATATACTAACACCATCTATAGAAAGGAAAACAATCTTATGTCAATATATCACAGCATAAATCTTTTATCCGTGTTCATCGAAGTTTTGATTCAACTACATCAAATATTAATGAAATAAATTCTATAATTTACTAGTAAATTGAAGTAAAATGCCTTTTCTATCTTGTCCAGCGCAGGGAACTGTTGCAATACTGTTTTTTTGTGTAAGTGTGAGATAGTGGAATAATCCATATCTTCGATCAGAGTATGATAATGAAATTATTCATATGTTTTAACAGTGTGTCATGACGTTTTTTCCTTTCTGTTATGATTTATCCAACGCACACATATATATATTTTATCATATATCTTTTCACCTTCTGTTCTCTCTTGCATTATAAAAAAGAATGAGGCGAAAAGGACATAAATTAGCGGACATATTTGAAAAATACTCAGACTTGATACATATAATTTCGATTTCATATTGTTTACGTATAATAAATTTCACT